TGAGCATTTCCCTTCTAGCAGACTGCAGCACCTTTGAAAAATACCATAGCAATGTAATACTCTTCATTCTAGGTGTGTTACTGTGGGACACCATCCCAGAGAAGATAGTATGTCATCTACACTCTTACAAACTTTTAAGTCAAAGATATCTATGAACAATGCCCGCATTTAAAATCTTCAGTGTCCCTCAGTCCTGTGAACACCATTACAGTCAGTATGCATTGTCCTGTGCCTGTTGTTTTGCAACCCTCCCTTGCAGAGTGGAGAGACTGAAGAAGGGATTACAAGAGAGTAAGCAGGCACACAGTGGGGAATACACATTGAAAGGAATGTGGCCTGGTGTATTCCCCATTGTGTGCCTGCTTACTCTCTTGTATACCCTTCCCTTGCTTTCTGTGAGGGGAAAAAAAGAAAAAAACAAGCTATTTCTGTAGACAATCTCTCCTGTGCCTGACCCTTTTTTCTCCCCCCCCCTTGCAGAGCGGAGAGATTGAAGAGAAAGGGATTACAAGAGAGTAAATGGGCACACAATGGGGAATACACCAGGTTGTTTGCATAGCGTGCTCACAGCTCCCAGCCCCAAGAGTGCTGGGGGCTGCTGGTGCCACCACGGTGCTTTCAATGTGTATTCCCCATTGTGAGCCTTACTCTCTTGTAATCCCTTCCTCTCCAAAGAATGTAAATACAAACATTAATTCCCTTCTTGCTAATTATCTCAGTGCCAGGGTGAGCATTCCAAAGGGCAGGGGAGTGGGGAAAAGGAAAGCACAGTAATTATCATGTGATTTCCCACTTAATGACCACTTCGCTTAACAACAGAGCTGCTGGTCCCAATTGTGGTTGCTAAGCGAGGACTACCTGTACTGTAAATGTATATGGCTGCCCATCCCAATGGCTTGAGTGCTGGGTAAATTATGACATGGAATATGCCCAGTAGACCCTTTGTGTCGTATAGTAGAAACATTATATTGGGCAGCAAGACATTATAGCATGTAGATTACCACTGTTTATATGAAAGAAGCCTGTCTACTGTAATTGTACCACTAAATCAGTGAGAAGAATGGAAGAGATTATTAGGAATGCTGAAGCTAATGTTGCCCTCTTTATAGACAAAGAATAATGGATTTAGGTTAACAGGAAGGCGTGTTCTGACTGAATGCTAAAAAAAGAAAAAAATAATAAATTCAAAAGAGTAAGAGCAGTTTGACAGTGAAACCAATTACCCAGAGGTGGTGGTTGGGCTGCCTTTCATTGGATGTGTTCAAGTGAAGGCTTGAAGTCATCTGTCAAGGATACTTTTATATTGATTCCTGAATGGAACAAGGGGTTGGATGTAATAACCCAAATTGGCCCTTCCAGATTTTAAGTTTATTGAAATAGTTATTAAATGTGTTAGAAATAATCTTTGGGCAAAGAATTAATGCCTTTATAAGCATCACTCTGCATCATTTTAGTGCTATATTGGTTACTCTTAATTCTATCTTAGACTTTTTTAGACAGCTTACTGCTTTATTTCACTTTCCATTACAGTCGTGGGAAGATTATTTGCTTGGTCTTCAGGAACTAAGTGGAGATATGCCAGGCCATTGACACCTGATAAGCATTAATATTGCAGTTAAAAGTAAAACATGCTTGTTATGTGAAACAGGATCTTCATTCAGCAAAGTGATCTTATCAGCTACAGCTTTGGGTCTTGGGGAAAGCCACTGACTTAAACAGTAATATTAAATACATAGTTATCTATGTAAGGATCAGACATAATTATGAAAATGGATCACTGCAGAAATATTAGTATTCTACTAATACACTACCATGTTTTCCTTAAAACTGACTTTTTTATTTTTCAGCTTATCAGCACCCTGTTTAAGTTTTTTGAAAAATTAAGAGTACAGTGGTACCTCGGGTTACGAATGCTTCTGTTAACGAACTTTTTGGGTTACGACCAGCTCCAGCTGCAAAAATTTACCTCGGTTTGCGAATTCCGCCTCAGGGTACGAGCAGGATACGCGGCCATTTTCCCTCCCGTGACACGGTCTGCGGCCATTTTTCCACCCATGTGGTCTGCGGCCATTTTCCGCCCGACACGTGGTCCACGGCCATTTTTCTGCCCCTGACACGTGGTCCATGGCCATTTTCCGCCCCTGGCCCGTGGTCCGCGGCCATTTTTCCGCCCCTGACATGTGGTCTGCGGCCATTTTCCGCCCGACACGTGGTCCACGGCCCTTTTTCTGCCCCTGACACGTGGTCCATGGCCATTTTCCGCCCCTGGCCCGTGGTCCGCGGCCATTTTTCCGCCCCTGACATGTGGTCTGCGGCCATTTTCCGCCCGACACGTGGTCCACGGCCCTTTTTCTGCCCCTGACACGTGGTCCATGGCCATTTTCCGCCCCTGGCCCGTGGTCCGCGGCCATTTTTCCGCCCCTGACATATGGTCGTAGGGAGAGGGACTCTCCCTCCAAGCAATAGCCGCCTCCCTGTCCCCCACGCCAGAACGGATTAACGGTAATTACATTGAACCTTATGGGGAAATTTGCTTCGGGGTGCGACCAGAGTCACGGAACGAATTAAGTTCGTAAACCGAGGTTCCACTATATTTAAAAAAATTAATGGACGGCACTTAATCTGCTGCATATCAGAGGAGATATTCCAGATGTTAAGTGAAAACTGTTCCAGTTTGCTAAAAAAAGCAAAAAAGAGTCCAGAGGCAAGACTAATAAAGATCTATTTTATTCATAAAGAAAAAAACAACAGATTTCAATAAAAACACTGCCATTCTGTTTATTACAGTACAGGGTCCTTATGTACGGATGACATATTCCATTTCTGCCACTGAAAAAATCCCACCCCGCGCAGACTGCCGTCTACAACATTCTACTAATATTCTGTACATGGTTGCTGTATGCTACGATTACATTAATAAGGGGATGGGAAATTATTAGGTCTCTAGATATTGCTGGATTACAGCTCCAGTTATTCTTAAAACCCTGTAATTCTGACAAGAGGTAGAATCCAATAGCATCTGGAGACCTACAAATTCTCCATCTATAACTAATTATTTTACAAATGCAACAAATGTTACAGCTGAATGAGATGTGGACTTACATTCTCTTCTCTGACAATACTTGAGTGAGCAGAGAGGAAAGAATACATTGAGCCTGGATGGACAAAGATACTGTAAGGTTATTGTCCTTTATGTTACCCTTTCAGACACCTGGATTGGTCTTGTATTTTAAATTGATGTGTGATGTATTTACATTTCGAAAGATATTCTGCAGAGCACAACATTGCTCTGTTAGTGCACAATGGAACTGCACTAGTCATGCTGTTTTGAATGTTACCTGCTAGCAGGCTGCTTTGAATAATAACTACAGCTATCAAATACTGCATTTAAAGCATTCTTCAGTTTGAATAATAGCTAAGCTGATCCTGATATGAAATAGCTGAGCTTTCATGATACTGACAGAAATCCACACAAATAGGACAAGGGTGATTTACTGAATAAATTTGTTTTGAACACAATTGAACACTTTTAGAATTGTATCAACAGCAAACTAAACACAGGCCACGTTCTGTGCTATCACTTTTATGCATCTGGACTGTAGTTAATGCTCCCCTTTAAAAAAAATGAGCCACTTAAGGCAGCCTATAAAATATATTGGTCAAAACCTTGATAACATTTAAGAGACATTTTATTGGAAGAGATAAGTTCAGCTTTTTGTTCTTGCTCATATCACAGTTCCACAATGACATGGACAAAAAAAAGTATGGATAATATATTAAAAGTTCTGCTTTATAGCATATTTGGTAAGACCAAAACAAAACAAATGAACAAACCCCAAAACATTGTAATGTCTTTGTTCTAATATGATGATCAAATGAACTGTTTATAGTTTTTGAAATAAAAGTGCACTCCCTTCCAAAATCAATACTTTTGAAATCATAATATTCCAACTTTGAATCTCAGGCTCAGAGAAGCCAACTTTTGTGGGAACTGAGTATCTACTTGTAACAGGAGAGTAAAGACTCTGTTTCTCATCTGCATTTGGGTTTGTTCTCTGTAAAAATAGTAATTGCTGGGGGGGGAGATGGATAGTGGGTAGACAAGCACATAATATAGACACACACATACGAGCCAATTAGTGGTTAAGGTACGGGACAAGGAGCCAGGAGACCAGTATCTAGTCCTCCCTTAGGTACATAAGCCAGCTGGGTGGCTTCAGGCCAGTCACTGTTTCTTAACCCTGGACTGGAAAGTAAAAAAAAAATAAAAAAAATCTGTAAACCAACACAGACTGACCCAGCATGGTTGATTACCTTCAATGAAGAGAGCTTCATCCCAAAGTGGATTAATTCAGACTGATTTTATATACACTCACAAATGCAACATAGGCCCATAAGGTCATTTTCCAAAATAAATGTATACAGTTTAAGAAAAAAACAATTTTCTATAATGAACAGTGCAAATGAATCAACAGTGCAAAGTACAGACTGTGCTTGCATTTCCAGAAGCATAAATGATTATTTAGAAGTCATTATATTAGTGTATAGTATGGTTAATTTTTTAAATGATTTTTGCTGCTTTGGATTCCACAAAAGTACATAAATTAGACATTGTCTCATGAGTACATAAAATCAGCTATGGTTCTTGAATCATAGCAAAATATTGGTCGAGTTCATCCCAAGTTTTGCATTCTCTTCTAGAATTGTGGCCAAACAGTAAATTAACAGAGGTGATTAACTCACCTTATCTGTGTTGGGTTATTTCAATTAGAATTGCAATTAATATTTGGAATATTCAGAAAATAGCTATTTTAAAACTAAAATTTGATTAGGAAAATGACTTTTTTTCCTTTCCTGAAAAGTCTTTTCCCCAACAGTCTTTTTAGATTTTTATTCTGCCCCCTCCCTCTCTCCCTCTTCCTCTCTCTCGGCAGCGAACATACCTAATTCTCCTGCCTCTTATTTTCCCCACAACAACAACCCTGTGAGGTGGGTTGGGCTGAGAGAGAGCAACTGGCCCAAAGTCACCCAGCTGGCTTTCATGCCTAAGGGAGGCCTAGAACTCATAGACATCTGGCTTCTAGGCCACCACCTTAGCCACTACACCAAACTGGCTCTCAAAAATAAACAGAACATACCACTTTTCAATGTTTAAAGAAATGATATCAAGATTTGTCAAGTATATTCCTAGACTATACTTTTATTGAAGCATTCTCATCTGTTTGTTAAACTTCTGCTATTCCATTATACAGAGCTGATGGCATAGAATCCAGAGCATGGTAACATGACATCCTAGTCCATCCATCCATAGTTTATCATAATCCAAGTATGTTAGACTAACACTCCCATAACCAAATCAGCATTGGAACTGCAGTTCAAAACACGAGGGCAGACATTTGGGTGGGACTGGATAGCAGTTCCCCACTGACAGACAAATCCCCTATCCTGGTTTAACCATAGTTATCTTTACATCACCAAGTTTAAATTCAGTGAGTATTTAACCATCATTTGAAAGAAGGGGATGAAGTTGATTAAAAATCCCCATAATGCAATGGAAGTTCTATCTTAAATATGTTTAAAACTTAGCAGAAATTATATACAAGTTGCAAGAAAATTTACAAATCAAGTTATCACTACATCTGCACTGGCCCAAAATAATTAGAAAAGAAACCTCTTGTATAAATTATTGAATCTTGAATAAAGTAGAAAGAAAACACTTTCAAAGTACAGGAGCCAGCCCTGCACTGAGTTACATAATACTTATAAACTTAGAAAGCTTAACAACTTGTAAAATTCTCAAGTCTTAATAATTTTGGAGTACCAGAATTTTGCTCAACTGTGAATGCAATTTTAGTTAAATACATATCAAAATTTAAAATATACAGAAAAAATATAGCAATGTATGAGACTATTAGAAACAAAATCCCAGATGGAAGCTAAAAATCCAGAAAAGATAAACATTTGGTTTTTCAGTATTTAGCAGATCAAGAAACTTCAATGTTCACTTGATCACAAAAAGCAGTTTCTTTTAATACTGACATAATCATAAGGACATAATTAACTTTCTACCAAGAAACACTGTATCTGTCTGAATGAGTTCATTTGGTATAAATAGGACGGTTCACTTAGACGTTACACTGTGATTATAAACAGCCCTTTAAAGAAACAAATTATATATATGTACGCACACACACAAAATCTGGACATATGCCAACATTCATGAGCAGACACCCATCACCTTCCCAGTCTTCTTTCCTGTGCTTTTCTTTCCACTGACTCCCGTGACCCCTCAATGTAATCCAGTCCATACCCCAACCTGCCAGAGCGGATGGAAGCGGTGCATGGCAGCTACAGGGGAGAGAACAGCTGCTCTCCTTGGGAAGATCCATTCTGCTGGTAGTTGGACAAATTTAGATTCATCCATAGACAGTGCATTGTTTTTGGAATCAGTGCATACTAAAGAAATTCATTTGTTATGTACAGCAATGCTTAATTTATGGACGCTGAACCAGCTTGCTTTTGCTCACGTCCTGCTCACTAAGTTTGAAGTGTGTATAAGCTAAAATGCCAAACAATGTACAGGTAATTCCAAGGCCTTGATTAATTGACAAAGGATCCTTAAATAAAAGATACCCTCCCATGAGGGTGATGCAGAATTTGAAGTGTCCAAACATATTGTATCTACATAGTTCTGTTAAGGAACATCATAATTAATCCAAAACAATCAAATGTCAAATCCTGGGCCAAGTCTGGCTTCTTAAATCCTACTGTTGTGAATGTGTCAGCCCTTCAAGGTAAACTAGGTCAGGAAACACATTCCTCAAGAATAACTGGAATGCTACTTTATTAATACAGGCTATAGTAATAGAATCTTGAAAGCCTAACAGCATTTTCCTCCTTCCCTCTTATTCCCAAGTGAGTTGAAGTGGAGTCAGTTTCATTCTAATGTTTTCTTCTTCTCCTGGGCTTAAATCATGTTTTTGTTACTGCTGGTGCATAGTTTCGCCAAGGTCATCTCCATGGTTCCTTATAGAATGGTACTTAAAAACTGCCTAAAATTGAAAACAAGACTTTTCCATGTATCTGTTAACTCAGTTTTGGCTTTGAGGAAAACTTCTCCTACTATTACAATATTCATTTTATATATATCTTCTCAATAAACAAAATATTCATTATTTCACTGCTACTATGGAAAGTAAATCCAAGCATTGAAGATGAGTCATTCTCTTATAAAACAGTGGGATTACTTAACTGCTCTTATTCTATAAGATTATCATAATGTTTTCAATGTATTAACATAGTTTTAATAAATTAAAATGGAATTCATATAATTGTAAATATAGCTGTAACACTGACATGCAGCCTCAGTCAGTTGTATTTAAAGATTTTAATTAATACCGCTGTACCAGAGGTCAGATTATATTGTCAAGAGACCTAATCAAGGCAATTCACTTTTAACAATGTAAACAAACTTTTTGCTATTTAGAAAGATCCTAAAACATAGTGTTTAAGCCCAATGCTATATGATTCTACAGTTTCTGAAAGTTTTATTGGCAACTCACCTGTTGTTTCAGACTTCTATACTTTATTACCAGTGTAGAAATCTGAAATAACTGAAGTTATCAGATAGTTAGAAGATAAGTTTGTACTTCACTTGATTAGAAAGCAATCTGAATAGCACAGAAAATAATTTAGCAAAACTGGAGAAATAAGTCTCCAAGTGAAAGGATACGTGACTGGTGATGTATTCCCAATGATCCAATAAATAGACAAGTTCACCATAAATGCTATTATTCCAGAGACCAGCACCATAAACTGTGGATTAAACAAACAAACAAACATGAGCACTTATCTCTGTAACTGATTTTTAATAGACATTACCCTCTATAAAGTGATATAAATGGTTGCTAACAGTATTCTGACCATTCTCAGATAAGTTCATGACCTTAACTTGGTCAAAAGGCACAGTGCCATTCATGCCTTTCCAATCACTTCACATTCACAGTAAGAACTACCACCTTGTAACTCTGTTGGAACTTGTGCAAAGATTCTCTTTGTCATGGTACCTTACATCTTGTATGAAAGCACTAGATCTTCATCCAGCATTGTTCTAAAAGTTGGCTGCCTGTGCTTGTAAACAATTGGATCTGATTTCTTGTCCTTGTCCTTAGCTGTTTTGTTTTATTATTCAATTTGATAAACGTTAAAAATTTGAAAGCATTTTGCTTTGGATATTTGATTGCAAGCAGAAATATGGAGTATAAAAGTTAAGAAAACTCCATAAGAAGGGTTTCTTTTAATAGATTGACACTTTACAGTACCTCCTCCCAGAAATATCTTAAGCACCATCTCCTAAGCAGTTTCATTTATTTAGCGTTTACTGAATTTATAAATTACTAGACAACCTGTGATCCATTGGATCATCATTTCAGAGATATTTCCTTATCTAAACAGAGAAACAGAATGACCAAGGGCAAAAAAGCAATGGGGGTGTGAGTGACTTACAATTTTGCTGCTGGTTTCCCCATTGACTTTGCTTGTGGGAAGCTGGCAGGAGCGTCAGAAATCTCCCGCCCTCTCCACATATAATATAGGCTTGTGCCATTTGCCCTCCCCTCACACCCCTCAGGAGAGCCTCGGTGAAGCCGCCACCACCGCCTCCTCCTCCTCCTCAGCTGACCTGTGGAACTGCTGCAACTTTGCTGGGGGGAGGTGGAACAAAGGGAGCTGCAGACTGTGAGAAAACTGCACCTCTGCTCCCCATTCTGACATGTCCCTGAGGGCCCCCTCCCTCGAGGGAGGAAGAGGGCTCACCTGTTGACCACCAGTGCCCCCCAGCCAGCCCTACCTCACCAGCAGGCATCCAAGTCGCTCCCTTGTCCTTCCCTCAATGCCAACCACCGTTAAGAGATTCCAAATGTCTGCCTCATAACCAAAGCAGCCAATTGCCACTCACCCATTGGGCCTTGCAACCAGCTGATTGGACGCAGGGGACAGAGGGAGGTGGGAAAGAGGTCAGGGATACCCCCACGACGATCATGTGACCTGGGATAACCACAGCAGCACAGCAGTGCTGAAGCAGCCACAAATTTCCCAAATGTCAATCCCATAGGAATCATGGGTCCTGGATTTTAGACTCATTCTGTAAGTTAGCCCATTTGAGGTACCTTGAGATACCTTCAAAAATTGTTGACCTATAATGCATCGTTTTGCCCAGCTGAAGGTTACAGACATGAGAATCTTAGTAATATATAGATGTCTTTTGCCCATATGGTGCATTGTATTTTATACAATAAAAATACAAATTAAAACTTAATTTTTATTTTAAATAAAAATATACCACCCCCAAATATGGAGTAAAAATATACAATAAGCAAGAATGCCATTACATTGAAAAGTGACCAACCATCAGAGTATTAAAACCTAATGGTACTATAGTCTTTACTGCCCTTCCAAAACAAGATAATAAGGAGCCTCCTTTGACCATTCTTAGAAAACAGCGGGCAGCCCAATCCATTGCATATTTAGTCAGAAATAATCTGTTGCTGTGTGCTGTTTCTCTTGCTGCTCCCAAAACTCTACTGTGTAGCTGGCAAGGAGCCAAAAAAAAAAAGACAAAATTTAGGGCAAGAGAAGAGCCAAGGTATGTCCCAAGCCACCCCTCTAATCAAGGCACTTATCCACAGTATTCAACATTTGGACCTGGACTTTTTGGCCACTTGTGATTGGCATACTTGTGTTTCAAAAGGTTCAGCGCAAACATGATAAAATGAAATAGCTGGTTCTTATTTAAGATGCTAAGCAATGTGAATTTTCAGAAATGCTAAGATTTATCACATTTATAGCCCAAGTTCCTCGAATGTTGCTTAAGGCAATGTGAATCAAGACCTACTTTTCTGATTTCAGCAAGATTGCATCATTGTGCGCCTTCAGACAAATGCCTGAAGAAGTTTGAGAAGTAATATATGCGGTCATTATTTGTTGGACTAATTTATCTTAGTGTATAAAGTAAAGATTACTTTAAAAAATAATTCAGTAGTGGGTGAGCTTTTCACACAGTCCTTCAATCGTAATACCTCACACTTGAAAATTCAGTGGCTAGCGACTGAATAATGGAAAACATTGATTCAATACAAAACTTCCAAGTTTAGGATTATATTTGTCCTATATCTGAACCTGAATGTTTTTTGTTAAATTTTAAGAGCATTTAGAACAAATAGAATGAAGAAAAGAGAAACAATTTACCACAGCAGAGGGAGTCCAGGGACCAAAAATTCCACCTTCTCCAAATACTGGTTCAAAGAAGGGTACAACACATAGCAATATGCCACATGACATTGGCGCTTGATAGTACAGTAGCTGCATAGAATTTACTTGTAATTCATGTTGCTTTGCTCCTACCCACTGAAACAAAGAAAAATATATTAATAGCCCACATATCCAACCTTAACATAAAGAAATTACAATGTGCCTACTAAACTGTACTGGTATGTACTTTAAGAAAAGCATGTACAGCCCAACCACATTTATTCAAATTACACAGGACAGCTAAAGCATCTGAAAGAAAAGACAGCCAGGTTCCTCTGTTCACCCTGATACAATGACATAAATACCACTCTGATCTAGATTACAGACTACTTAAAATCCCCAAGAAAAATGTTTTCATTTCCAGCCACTGAATGAAGTATTTCCAAAGCAAACAGGCATATGAATATATAAACTTGCTAGCAATGAAATTTTATTCCAGATAGAAGGAATGTAAGCCAAAACCTTTGAACTTGCAGTTGATGCAAGCTACAAATTGCAGAGTACAGGTAAACTGAGGATACAAGAAAGTATAATTCCAGCTATAAGACCTTCATGGATAGCTCTAGTGTAACTTTCCCCAGTGTGGGCATCTTCCACATATGAGGACTTCAACTGCCAATATTCTTAACAATGGCCATGCTGGCTGAGGAATTCTGGGAGATATCATTTATAACTGGGAGATATCCAGGTGAAGAAAGCTGATCTAATAATATACAGAATAATTTCTTCTGGATCTTAGCACATGTACAGCTAGTCCTCAGATTATGACCATTCATTCAGCAACCGTTCAAAGTTACAACAGTGCTGAACAAATGGTAGTTACAACTGATCCTTGAAGTTCTGGCTATCACAGTGCCCCCATGGTCATGTGATCAAAATTTGGGTGCTTGGCATTTATGTCCAGTTGCAGTGCCCGTGGTCATGTTGTCCTGCCCTGCACAAATTGCCTCTGCTTCAATTCCCCCCATCTCTGCCCTTTTGGCCACCCTGCACTCCACTGCCTACCCCTGGTACTATCTCAGCTGACCTTTGCTGTCTTCTTTCTCCCACTGTTGGCCCAGGATCCAGGCACTGGGTGAGGGTGCAGCCCCGGGATGTGTACGGCGAGCATGGCAGAGCCTTGTCTGCTGAAGGGCTAGCAGCTTCCATCTCTCCCCTCTCATCTCTGCCCTGCACCCCCCCACCGCCCCTAGCTGACCTTCGGCACTTCTTCCTCCCACTGGAT